ACTGGTGGTCCAGTTTCCCAGTTTCAGGGCTGATGGGTGTTACTGGTTAGCATTCGGTTCAGTTCTTTGTGTGTTTTTAGTTTTTTCTTTTGCTGAAGTCCAAACGAGCGCAGGGTCGAGACGAAAAGATCAAAGGGAGTTTACGGTCGTTACAAACATGTAGCAGCTTGTTGTTGTTGTTGTTGTTGTTGTTGTTGTTGTTTATTTTTACTCCTGTTTCCTTCTGTTTTATCGCGTTGTACTTTTACTCCTCCTTTTCCGGTACTTTTCAGCACCACAGATCACCGACCGCAGCGCCCAGTACTAGTTTCACACGAGTACGATGTATAAATATATAAATACTCAGATATATATGAATATTGTACGCGGCTGTGGCTGGACCCATTCTGCACCAGAACTCGTCTCTCGTCTAGTACTGACACATTTATATATAAATACACAAGTATAAATACACATACTGTACACCAAAACTTTGGTATTGTTCGTAGTATGTAGGTTTTGATTGGAACATGATTTCTATACAAATATGTATATTTGCTGCCATGCACGTGTGCAGTGTGTGTGTGTGTGTGTGTGTGTGTGTGAGTGTGTGTGTGTGTGTGTGTGTGTGTGTGAGTGTGTGTGAGATGATGCAGCGTACTTGAATGAAGCTACATGTTTGCACGTTGCCTTTGGTTCATCTCGGTTCAGAGACAACTGTTCCAGTCTTCAGTGACCCCCCCCCCCCCCCAGGACACGTCTTCGTTTACAAAAAGAACATCTGGATGTTTTGTGTTGCTGCAGATCTGGAGATCCAGATGTTTCCTCCCAGCTGCTGGAGATGAATCTTGTGCCTCTTCAAAACATAACTGACCCCCCCCCCCCCCCCCCCCCATGTCTTCTCTCGTTCTGGTCCAAAGTCCCACAGAGAATCTAGAATCTCTTGTCTTGTCCTTTTTCCTCAGATAACAGAAGCTTTACACACACACACACACACACTCTGCACACACACACACTACACACACACACACTCCACACACACACACACACTCTGCACACACACACACACACTCTGCACACACACACACTCTGCGCACACACACTCTGCACACACGTGCAGGCTCTGTTAAGTTGGGACGTCGTGTCTTTGGGACAAACAGGATTCTTGAGTTGGACATGAGCAACGTGTCTCTGAAGCTGTCCAAGGTCCAGGTGTCCTCTTCTAACGATGGTCCAACGTCCAGGACGAGACCGGCTGTTGGAGGTTCTGGAGCTTTGAATGTTGTCCCAGTTTGGTCTGATGGACTCCAGCTGAAGCCTGAGGCCTCGTCCTCAGGGACGGCTGTGGCTGAGTGGTTAGAGCAGTCGTCCTCCAATGCAAGAGTTGGGGGTTTGAATCCACCAGCAGTCACACGTTGAAGTGTCCCTGGGCAAGACACTGAACCCCTCATAGTCTCTGATGTGTGTCCCATCAGTGTTTGAATGTGATAAAGCTCTGAGTAGTCTCTGTACAGATCTAGTATAGATCTAGTACAGATCTAGTATAGATCTAGTACAGATCTAGTACATATGTAGTACAGATCTAGTATAGATCTAGTACATATCTAGTATAGATCTAGTACATATCTAGTATAGATCCAGTGCATATGTGGTACATATCTGGTACAGATCTAGTATAGATCTGGTACAGATCTAGTGCATATCTGTTCCAGATTTAGTATAGATCCGGAACAGATCTAGTACAGATCTAGTACATATATGTTCCAGATCTAGTATAGATCTAGTACAGATCTAGTATAGATCTAGTACATATCTGTTCCAGATCTAGTATAGATCTAGTATAGATCTGTAACAGATCTAGTACATATCTAGTATAGATCTAGTACATATCTGTTCCAGATCTAGTATAGATCTGTAACAGATCTAGTACATATCTAGTATAGATCTGGAACAGATCTGGTACATATCTGATACAGATCTAGTATAGATCTGGAACAGATCTAGTACATATCTGTTCCAGATCTAGTATAGATCTGGAACAGATCTAGTACAGATCTAGTATAGATCTGGAACAGATCTGGTACAGATCTAGTACATATCTGATACAGATCTAGTATAGATCTGGTATAGATCTGGAACTGATCTAGTATAGATCTGGAACAGATCTGGTACAGATCTAGTACATATCTGATACAGATCTAGTATAGATCTGGTATAGATCTGGAACAGATCTGGTACATATCTAGTACATATCTGATACAGATCTAGTATAGATCTGGTATAGATCTGGAACAGATCTGGTATAGAGCTGTATGAATGGATAAATGAGGCACATGTTGTTGTAAAGAGCTCTGAGTGTCTGGGTCAGACAGAAAGGATCTGTATAAGTACAGTCCATTACTCAGTAATGAGGGCGTTGCTTCGGTCAGTCATGGTGAGAGTTGACTCCAAAGACAAAGTTCTGGACTTCACCTTAGTCCATTTGAAAGGAGCTCTGGTCCAGAGAAGATGGTGATGGTTCTGGATGGTGTCCACATCTGGCTTCTTCTTTGTCTGATAGAGCTTTAACTTTTACCTGTTGCTGCCGTCGCCTTCAAAATCCCCGTTTTTAAAAAAACGTTTTGAACGATCTTCAGATGTTTGTTCCTCTGGATACGACAACGTTTGATTGACACAGCGCTCCAGCTGGATCAGTCAGGGCTACGCTGATGGACCGTAAAGAACTGGGCTGCTGTTGCATTGTGGGTATAAAGATGGTGGGCGGGGCTTTTAAAAGTCAGCAGTGATTGACACTTTGCTGGCGAGGTGAGTCCGATCACACGAGCTTTTATTGTGAAACACGAAGACGATGAGAACTCTGACGACCAGAAGAGTCCGATTTGTACACGAAGTCACGAAGTGAACGTTTTATACATTTTATACCGTTAGCTCAAACCGTTAGCTTATACCGTTAGCTTATACCATTACCTTATACGCACTTTGGTTCCTTTTTGTTTCTCTGATTTGAGGTCGAGAGCCTCGTCAGTTTGTTTGGAGGCGATTTCTCCGTGTGTTGTTTGCTCGTTTGTTGTTTAGCTCGTGTGGCGGGAGTCTGTTAGAGGGTTTTGGGTCTGCTGAGCCGCCTAGACGTCGAGGGCGAGCTGGAATCTCCCATTGTGTCGCAAGTCTCTTCTTCCCGCCACTGCAGTCTACGTCTCCTGTTTGCCGAGGCCTCTGAGGGGGCGGCCATGTTGGAGCTGGCTCTGATGCGGCGGCCGCCATGTTGGAGCTGGCTTTGATGCGGCGGCGGCCATGTTGGAGCTGGCTCTGATGCGGTGGCCCTGATTTGGGCTTCAGTTGCTTCTTTCGTGTCGGTTCTCATGGGTCGAACAACGCAGCGTTTTCTTTCTTGGCTTTAATCTGAAGCGTTTTGCGGTCGGCGGTGTGACTTCCTGTTTTTAAACGTGTCACCTGGCTGCGTCCTTCAGACCACGTTTGATTTTATGTTTTAGCCCAAAGTTGTATTTATCAGAGACGGTCCAACAGGTCTGTGTTCATCCCGGCCCGGCTGGCGCAGAGGCCGAGGATGGTAGACGGTAGATCAGTTACGTTCGTTCCGGTAAATTAAATCAAAGTTGTTCTGAATGTGTGCGACTGAGATTAAAAACAGACAGCTCAGATTACGCTGCACGGTGCACTGCTCGCACTCAGTGACCCTGCGGTAGCGAAGCGGCCATGTTTGTGGTTTTGCTTGGTTCTGACCCACCACCTCGAGGTTTAAACAGCAGGAAGACCAGAATCGGGCTCGGAGGTCCTGCAGCCAGAAGGTTTCCATGCTTGAATGTCGGAGCAGGACGTTGGGACTTTGAATGTAACAGTTTCTCAATCTGTAATCCCAAATAATCTGATCATTGCGAGAACCAGAGCGGGTTCTGTTGGTCCGTCCGATCCGACTTGGAGCCGGCGTCGTACCAAATAAGAACGAGGCTCGGTCGAATGGTTCAGATTGAAACCAAATGAAAGAGCAGGAGGCCCGCGGGCGGCGCCGTCCTGCAGAACCTGTTCGCTGCTGAAACGGGTCGTTTGTGACGAGGCTGAATTCACCGACTGATCCGCCTTCCCTCCCGAACTTTAATGTCTGACGACGTTCTGTCTCGGTAAAGCCGGCGGTTTTCACTCTAATGTAAAAACATCAGATGTCACAATAAAGTTTCATGCATTGAGACGTGCTGCGTTTTTATTGTGAACATTGTGGGAGGAGCCTGAGCGCTCGTGAAGTGGGAGGAGCCTGAGCGCTCGTGAACTTGGACTACAACACTTCAAGGTAAAGCTTCGAGGAATGCATATCGCCCGCCACAACAAATCTACAGTAAATCCACCTGTTGAGGTGATCCAGTGCTCGGAATGTGTGCGTTGGATCAGTCTCGGCTACTACCAGCCAAACCTTTGGATCAGTCTCGGCTACTACCAGCCAAACCTTTGGATCAGTCTCGGCTACTACCAGCCAAACCTTTGGATCAGTCTCGGCTACTACCAGCCAAACCTTATCTGTAAAACAGTTGCTCTTTATGACTCAAGTATTTCTCAGCTGTGGCAGCCATCTTGAATCAGGTTGACTCCAGAAGTTAATCAGTTATTTATGTTTAACTTTCCGAGAGTCGTGTTAAAATCTGTCCACTGGTTCATGAGATATTTTGCTAACAGACTAAACCATAATAAAATAAAAAGGTCTGCGGTTTGAAATGACTCACACTGATGAGTTCAGGGACATCAGCTGATTGGTTTA